GTGTCTCAGGGTCAGTCTGGGCCAGTCCCAACACTGAGTCTCCAGTGTTGTCCCCTTTAGAGCCCAGGGCCATCAAGGGATGTCGAGTCCCGTGGTGGGATCAGCCATATTATCCACTCTGCCCACAGGCTGTTCAGAGCGGGCATGTCGTCCTCTAGGCCTGGTGGGTCAGGATGTGCTCCGCTCTCTCTTCCTCCCCAAATGCTCCCATTTGCTCTGATCAGACATGCCCCTCTCCCCTAACTGCAGCTAGCTTCCTTGCCGTCTTCTCAAGTAACTTCTTCTGTGGGGAGGGGTTGTTGTCCACATGGCTGGCATGGGGCCGAGGATTTTCTATTCTCATCCATTGGTCCAAGTATATATCGTTATACCAGTACCATGCTGTTTTGACAACTGTGGCTGTATAATAAAGTTTTAAAGTCAGGTAATGCAAACCCACCCACTTTATTCTTCTTGAGGAGTTCTTTGCCATTTCTGGGTTTCTTCCCTTTCCATATGAAGTTGGTTTTTCCATTTCTTTGAAAAAGGATTCTGGTATTTGTATTGGGATTACATTGAACCTATATAATGCCTTAGGTAGGATTGACATCTTTACAATATTGAGTCTACCGATCGATCCACAAGCATGGGCTATTTTTTAATTTGTGAAGGTCCCTTTCGGTTTCTTGTAATAGTGTTCTGTAGTTTTCCTCGTATAGCTCTTTTGGAGCTTTTGTTGTTGTTGTTAGGTATATCCCTAGATATTTCAATTTACGCTCAGCTATTGTGAAGGGTACTACCTTCTTGATATCTTTTTTCTGTAATCCCATCAGTTGTATGTAGCAATCCAGTTGAGTTCTGCTTGTTCATCCTGTAACTTGCCACTCTACCATATTCCTCTATTGCTTCCAGCTCCTACTGGTATAAAATATATGATATAAAATCATATCATCTGCAAATAATGATAATTTCACTTCTTCTTTCCCTGGAGATATATATATATATATACTGTGTACATATATATATGTACACACATATATATGTATATATATATTTATACATACACACACACACACACATATATATCTTTGATGTCCTTCTGTTGCCTTATATTGTTAGCTAGGACCTCCAGCATGATGTTGAATGAAAGTGGGGACAAGGGGCCTCCTTGTCTGGTTCCCTTTTTCTATGGGAATGTTTTAGACTTTTCTCCATTAATTGTGACACTGGCTGTTGGATTTCCATATATAGCTTTAATTATATTGAGGTAATTTCCTTCCAACACTATCTTCTTGAGTGTCTTAATTAAGAATGAGTGTTGAATGTTTTTAAGTGCTTTTTCTGCATCTGTTGATCATATCATGTGGTTCTTGTCCTTTTTCTTCTCAATGTGGTGGATAATGTTGATGGATTTTCGAATGTTGAACCATCACTGCAACCTGGTATGAATCCCACTTGGTCATGATGCATTGTTCTTTAAATACTTTTGTATTCTATTGGCCAAAATGTTGTTGAGGATTTTTGTATCTATTTCATTAGAGATAATGGCCTTTAATTCTCTATTCTTGTTGGATCCTTGCCTGGTTTTCCTCAGCACTTTATAAAGCTCCCTTTTATTGTGTCACCTGTTTTTTCTATCTTGAAGAGTCACCTGGTTTTGTGGTTGGTTTTGAAACCCTTGACATTATATGGAAAGAGGTATGGTTTGGGAAAAAATAAAAAATAACCCACCATGTATTTCATGTATTTTCATAGCGTCTCTTGTTGCTATTTAACTTTTCCAGAGGAGCTTCTTAATAACTTTGCCCAGCAAATAGGAGCCTGGAGATTCTGCCTGTATTTTCTGTCCAGCACTAGGAATGATTATGTAATGATGTACAGTTTAACGGTTTTTGAGGTAAGTTGCCAGAGCATTTTCTACTCTTCTGAAAAGTATTTCGTATCAGTTGCCATGTCACAGACTCACCTCTGGGACTTCCTACCACATGTGCGCTCTGTCGGAACAGCTGGGGTTCTGGGGCACCTTCCCAGTTTCAGCATCTGGGGCTTAGAGGTAATGGTTATTAGGTGGGTCAGTTGTTTGTGGAAGCATGTAGCGTTTCTCTGTTATTGTTTAAAAGGGAGAATGATGGAAAACATCTTGGGAGGAGAGCTGATAGTCCTAATACTATCATTCCAACCACAAAAATCCTCATTTCTTAATAAACTCTCTTCCAATCTGGGCACATCTTTTTCTTTTCTTTTTTTTTACAATGAAACTGATTGTATCAGATTGTTCATGCCATTTTACATTTTAGTTGTACCATTATCACCAAGCTGTTCTCTTACTTTTAAGCATTAACATTCTGCCATTTTGGGGCGGCCATTAAAGAGAATGTATAACCCAAAGTTTTTATACATACAGCCTTTTGTATTTGTTAAATTACGTATTTGGCAAATAATCCTAGGGATGAAATTGTTATATCACAGGATTTAAATGATTTTATAATTCTTGTTGCCAGATTAAAACAGGGTTTCTTGTTTATTGAGCTGATATGACTAACTGGATAAAAATTGGTTCATTTTTGTCCAGTTTGCTAACTTAGAAAATGTTTTTGTTTTCAGAATCTGATCAATAAAATGTGGCTTGGGGTCCCATCTCAGGATAAGATGGAAATTCGTAGCTGCCTGCCTAAACTTCTTTTGGCTCACCACAAAACCTTACCTTACTTTATCCGGAACAAGCTTTGCAAAGTGATTGTTGATATTGGCCGTCAGGATTGGCCAATGTTCTACCATGACTTTTTTACTAATATTTTACAGGTAAGGAAACAGAAAACAAACCCAGGAAATATGGGTGTCTTGTATGTAGTTTGTAGAGTGATTATTTCTTTGTCTGGAGAGGAGTTATAAGATTTAAATTTTAGAACTGCAATAAAGCATGGTCATTATAGGATGAATGAGCACATTCATTTAAACCTTTCTTCTTGACACATCCCTTTATAATGCAGGGTAAGGAAAGTAACCTGATCACTTTTTGACCCCGTGTGAAGTTTTGTTCAGCGAATAACTTTTGAGAGCCTGTTAGGTCCTGTGCCAGTTATTAGGGGTACAAGGACGAGGCCTCCAATGGATCATAATTTAGTGGGGAGATTGTTATGCAAACAGTAATTATATATTTTTATACAAATAACACATCTTCTGTATTTGGTTGCCAATTGTTTTCTTTCCCCAGGAGATATTTCATAAATGCCACTCTACCAGTTTTTTTTAAACATGTTGCTTAAACATTAGCACATTTACAAAACTACCATATATACTTGTGTATAAGTGAGTTTTCCAGCACATTTTTAATGCCGTTTCTGTGGTAAAATCAGGTGCCTCAGCTGATATTCGGGTCGGTTTATACTCAAGTATATACAGTATAGCATGTAAGTAGAGAAGGTACGTTTTATTTGTGTAAAGTATGATATCAAATGATAGGACTTCAGTGTAATGGTTGCCTTACATGGGCTTTCTTTTAATGAGGGTCTTGCAGCTCCCACCAAATATTGGATAAGATCATGCAAATAAGGTGCATAGCATCTTTCTGGGTGTAGGACCATTCAAATAAGGTGCATGGAATTGTAAAGGGGAATCGGTCAGTTTGTCATCCTGCTGGGCTTAAAATGAGCCATAACGGGTGGAAAAGTGGGGTACCTCACCTCAAAGAGCTGAGAGCAGGGTGTATCCTTTGGGTCCCTGGGCAGATGATTAACACCCGAGACGGTGCATGATGGTGAGAATTGGTGGCACAGCAAAGGTGGCAGCAGAATCTGGAGACTGGCCTGAGATGGTGTGGTGTTCTTTCTGGCCAAGAAGCTGGAAGCAAGTTTAAATGGCAGGAGGTGGCAGAATGGATAAGGACATTTTTGGTACATGCATATAATAGGATACTTAGAACAGCAATGAAACTGTCAACATCTCATGGCATAAAAGATAGGCTGAGAAAGGTTAACCAATTCTACAAAGACAGATACTGTATGGGATCATTATTATAAAAAGAAACACACACACACACACACACACACACACACACACACACACACAATGGTTTCACACCAAAAGAGGCAGACTTGGATAGTTACGGAAAAGCCAAGTGATGGAAAGTAAAAATGAAGTTAATAAATATTGAACACTCAGAGATGCATTCATAGTAGCATAGATAGACATGTAATTATAAAAGTAAGACCCATCAGTATATTCTCTCTGAGAGAGATAGCTTAGAAAGACAAAAGTAGACCAAAAGTCAAAGGATGAAAAAAAAAGAACAGGAGTTACCGTATTAATTTCTCACAAAGTAAACTTGAAGGCAGGAAACATTATAAGCGACAAGGGCATTATGTAATGATTAAAGGGTCAATTGAACAAGAGGGCATAACTATTTTATGTATGCACGCAGTAAAGAACCTAAAAATACACCCCTCTCACCCCCAAAATCTGTGTCCACAGTACAGCTCCCAGATTGCTTCTCAAAGTCAGCAGAATCCTTTATGCAGTATTAGTTGGTTGTTACAGTGATACATTTATCTAGAGTCTTGCAGGGTTTCTGCAAGTTGTTCAGTCAACGATTTGCTGAGCATCAACCAGGTGCAAAGTAAGCACTTGGTAGGGATATAGTGATGAACAAAATACAGCTCTCCCTTCTACAAGTGTTGTCCATGAGGTACAATAAGAAAATAGATACTTCCAGTTGTTAAGAGGATACAAAGAAAGAGAACGTCAGTCACTGTTAGTGGGATGGGGCTGGTCAGGGAAGGCTTTCCAGAGGAGTGGACTTGAGCGGAATTTTGCCTGTGAGGGAGTGAGTCACTATGTGTCGTGGGGAAGCGTGCTGCTGTAGGCAGAGGGTATGAATAGCAAATGCTAGTCTACAACTAGAAGAATTGAAGAACAAGTGGGAATTTGGAAGTGTTTTTGGATGAGGTGCACATGGAGGTTTGAGAAGGCTAGTGGTCCTCTGTTCTCCCCCACAGCTTCCTTTCCCCCCTTTGTAACTGGAGCCACCCCATAGTGGAGAGAGCATCGGACGGGGTATTTGGAGTCCTCGTGCTTGGGTTCTGGCCTCGACACAAATCCTCTTTGGGTTTCAGCACCTCCTGTGTTACCTATTCGAGCCTCCACTTCCTCCTTTGTAAAATGAGAAGATTGAACTAAGTGGTCTTTAATGTGCTTTCCAGTGGTAACATTCTCTATTTCTGATTTATCCATAAAAGTGGCCTGGTATGTAAGCCATGCCAAGACTGGTTGGTGCTTGGTTACTGGCATTTCTGGTAATTAACTAGACCTTGCATCAAGTATTCGACAATAAGACCAAACCAGTTCTGGGCTCAGATACAGTCCTTTGATTAAACGATCTAAAAGATTTTTTGCAGGGTCATGGCCTGTTTGCAGCCTGGGCTTCAGTTTTCGTTTATTTACTTTTTAAACTGACTTCTGACGTACAACTGGGCATCCATGATGTGTTCTGGTGACCGCAGTACTAGGCAGAGCGGCGTAGATTAGGGCCCCAGAAGCGTGTTTGTGGTTCTCTCATCTGCGTCACTGGAGAAGGAAGTAGTTGGAGTTGAAACTGATCGTCTGCCCCTCATCTCACACATACACACGCCACCTCTTTTCTGTACACTGTCCTTCTGTTTCTTGAGATCTGCTCGGTTGGACCTGTGTCTGGGGCTAGCTAGTTAGGGACCAGAGCACACAGAAAAGCACTGCTGTTTGCTCTGGGTGAGTGAGGTGGTAAATAGTGACTCCCTCGAGAAGCGCACACTAGACTTGACAGAAGCTTCCTTGTACTATTCTCCAATAGCACCCGACTCACCGCCCTTGGTCAGTGCTGACTCACAGTGACCCCCCGCTGGGTTCCGAGATGCTTCGCTATTTAAGAGAGTAGAAAGCCCACTCTTTTCCCCACGAAGCTGCTGGTGGTTTCAAACTACTGGCTGTGCCTAACGTGTAACAGTGAGGCTGCTTTTACCATTCTAGGAGGCTAAAGAAAATAGATGTAATAGTATTTCTTTACATTTTGCAAAGAATGATTAGAAAAATAAATGTAAACCCTAGGCTGTTGGAGGCATACTGTTGTTTTCTGTGTCTTGTCTATTGGAATTTTCTCAGTATGGTTTCAGGTGGTTGAAAGATAGCCTAATTTGTAGAAAAGTAACATAGTATAGATACTTGCAGAATTATAGTCATGTTCCTGATTTAAAGTATGTTTGCATATTTCTACTCTGCTGTATCTGTACTCTTGAACGGTTTTGAAGTTTGCACTGTTTAGAATTATAAGATTTAGAAATATAAAATTAATTTGACACCTGAGTAAAATCGAAAAGAACAAATGGATTTACATGTATTTTAATCACTAATATATTAGGGCAAAGACTTGGGAATCTGGATGTGTATAAAAATTATGTGCTATGTCAGGAGTAAAAAGAGCATCATCATGCTATTCATGGTATTAGACTTTTGTCTTTAAGATGAGAATATGTTTTGTACTCTGAGATCATGTTTCTCTTAAGGTTGATCTGTGCCCCCATTCACGTAAGATTGAGCACCCAGCACCCCACATCTCAGAGTCAGCACTCTGGCTCTCTCTGTACCTTCTTAGAGGCGCTGCTCAGAGCTTGCTTTTTCCTGGCAGTTGATCCAGTCCCCTGTGACAACCCCTCTCGGGCTGATCATGCTGAAGACAACTTCGGAAGAGCTGGCTTGTCCCCGGGAAGACCTCAGCGTGGCTCGGAAGGAAGAGCTGCGGAAGCTGTTGCTGGAGCAGGTGCAAACCGTGCTTGGGCTACTGACAGGTGAGTGGCTGGGTGCTGGCGAGGATGGAGGGAGACTGCTTGCTGGCACCCAGAAAGTCTGAGCAGTTGTTTCAGCTCTCCCTGCAAACCGAGCATCAAAGGAGACATCATTAAGTTCTACTTTCTCAGCACCTCGCCAGTGTCTAATACTATATAGGACCTTTAAAAATGTGACTTCCTCTCCTTGTCGTTCTCCATCCACTGGGTCTTGCGATAATTATTCAGCTAGGTTTAGAGTGGGTCATGGGAGTGTGCTCGAAATGTCTGATACTGCATTCTAAGAAGGTAGGTGTGACACACTTGAAATAATTTGAGTCTCAGAGCAGTAGGCGTTGGAAGAATTTAAAGTTAGGAGTGCTTCTGTATAGGGAAGTAAGACAAGGTGTGGAATCAGTCCTTTTTATACTTAGTTGTACTTGTATTTTTCACTCTTACCCCATCTGTTTGGTTAGTGTCTCAGGACATTGTGTGCAGGGTGAGAATGAAGAGAAAGCAAACCGCAAATTGAGACAGGAAGTGTGGGCCCCGAGAGCATGCTAGCTAGGGTGGCTGGTGCTCACCGGGCACTAGGGCCCTGGGCTCATTACTGGAAGGAATGTTGTGGTGAAAAAACAAAACAAAAGGTTTCTCTCCATCTCCTCCACTACCATCTCCTTTACCCCTACATCTATCTTCTTGAATGTTTGGGAATCTCTTTTTGTATTTGTAGTTCAGTTCCTGGCATGTAGTAAGCACCTAAAATTGGTTCAACGAATGTGAGATCAGAAATAAACTTGTTATTTATCCTCATTATTCTCAAACCGCCCCCCTTAGAAACCCAAACCTCAGAGCATCCATTTCATCCAAAGAGCATTTATTGGTAACTGGATGTTACATATCTAGGTGGGAACTATGTTTTTACTGTGTATAGTAGCATAGCAAACATTTTAAAATTGAGAGATAATTCATATACCATAAAATTCACAAATTTAAAGTGGAGCAATTCAGTGGATTTTAATATATTCATACAGTTGTTCAACCATTGCCACTATTTGCAGAGCAGATAATCCAAGAAGCAGAACTAGAGAGTAAAGATGAGTGCAGCATCAAGACCGGAGGAAGTTTCCTGAACAACCTTCTGTATGTAGATGACACGACCTTGCTTTGTGAAAGATAAGAGGACTTGAAGCACTTACTGATGAAGATCAGAGACTGTATCCTTCAGGATGAGCCCACACTTCAATATGAAGAAAAGCTGGACAAGTAACACCATGATAAATGAAGAAAAGATTGACGCTGGCAAGGATTTCATTTCGCGTGCATCTGCAATCAACGTTCATGGAAGCAGCAGCCAAGAAGTCAAGCAATGTCTTATATTGGGCAAATATGCTGCAAACAACTCTTTACAGCATTAAAGAGCAAAGACTTTGAGAATTAAGGTGTGTCTAACCCAAGTCATGGCGTTTCCCGTCAGCTCACATGCAGACAAAAGCTGGATAACGAATAAGGAAGAATGGAGCAGAGCTGATGTCTTAGAGGTAGGACATTAGCAGAGAATATTGACTGCCAGAAGAATGCGCACACTGCCTTGAAAGAAGGATAATCGGAATATCCCTTAAGAGAAGGGGACCAGCCCCCGGAGAAGACTATCGTGCTTGAGAAAGTGAAGGGTCAGCAAAGATGAGGTGGCCCTCAATGAAATGTGTTGATAGGATGGCTGCAACAGTGGATTCAGACATTACAGTTGTGAGGTTGGTGCAGGACCAGGCCCTGTTTCATCCCATTGTCTATGGGGTCCCTAAGAATGGGTACCGACTTGATGGTACCTAACAACAACAACAAATTCCAGAGTGCTTCCATCACCCCCCAAAGAACCACTGTACCCCTTAGCAGCTACTCCTAGACAGGGGTAAACAAAATACTGTGAATACTGATAAACAAAATACTAATTTACCTTCTATATCTATGGATTTGCCTTTTCTGGACATTTTGTAGAAATGGATTCCTAATATATGTGGCGTGTGGCCTTTTTATACCTAGTGTCTTTTACTTAGCGTGTTTTCAAGTTCCATCCATATTGTAATATTAAATGTCTTAAGAACAAAATAATTTCTAAAGCTTCTATGATCATCTTATATGCCAGGTTCTGAATCATGTGTATAAAAAGAACTGAAGTAATAGTTTTTATCCTGTAGTAACTTACAGTCCCGTGGGAGATAGACAAGTATAGTTGAAAGAGCAGCATTTCAAGAGTTAAAATCGAACTCTCTTTTAGTGAGGAACAGATGCCATAGCACTGGCAGCAGCAGCAGCAGTATTTTCAGTGAGGCTAGGAAGACTCCTGAAGTGACAGCTGAGTGTCACCCAGGGGGGTGGACAGAGCAGTGTGGCTGACAAAGGTCAAGGTGGCATTGTGAGGAGGAGGCCAGGTTCGAGGCTCAAAACAAGGAACCATGTTTAAGTAGCAGCCCATAGTGCAACAGTGTGTAGGATGGCACAAAGGGCCAAAGGGGTGAGCAGGGTGGGCCCTACCAGATGGATTGAACAAACACCAGATGCTGAGAGCCAGTAGGGTAATTCACAGACGCGACGGTAGATCTTTGAGGGAGAATGACCCAGATGTTTTAGGATGAGAGACTGAAGCCCTGGCGGAGATGAGTCATTTCAGGGTGAAATGAGGGGGAAAGACAGCGGGGCATGATGTGTGTTTAAGTGATGGGCAGAGAATGAAGCTGACTGAAAGACCGATCCAGCTCAGAGAACTGAGAAAACCGAGTGGGCTCTAGAGAAGGATTTGGGCAGCATCCTGGAGTGCCACAGTGGCCACTGAGTGGTCTTGGTACCTAGGTGCCCTTGGCCTAGAACAGTGTCAGAAGAAACAGAGACAGAGAAGCCCCACTGAGAGGTGGAGGTGAAGCAGTAGCGTTGCTCTGAGTGGAAGCAGCACTTCCCAGAAGGTAGCTGGAAGTGGGGAGATAAGACCATTAGCTAGACAGGGCCATAAGGTTAAGAGAGAAGAGTGCTAAAATACCAGTATTTGACTAAAAATTGTAATAAATGTTTCTAATTCTGGTTTTCATATGCTAGGCTGGCTTTCTTTCTAAACCCACATTTCCCTTTCTTGTAGGTATCTTGGAGACCGTCTGGGACAAACACAGTGTTACAGCCGCGACTCCGCCCCCATCCCCGACTTCAGGAGAAAGTGGTACGGTCTGCCTGTCACATCCTGCATCCTTCTTTTGAATTGCAGTTGGGAGTCTCTGCGGCTAGCAAGAGGGTATCAAGGCCAGAGACAGATGATGTTTAATCTAGTTTTGGTCCTTTGCCCCCTTTGTGAGTAGCTAAACTTAGTTCCTTGTGAGTGTTATACATTCTTATACGACATTTGGAACAGCAAACACATTTTGTTCCTTCCTATTGTAAGGATGACACCTTTTCTATCATCCAATCCATCCCCTTCAGCTTGTAAATTGCGATTTCCTAGTTTGTTGTCCTCATTTTCCTCCTTGTCAAACTCTGCGTGGCTGCCTTGTCTGAGCTGAGATGGAATGAGCTGCACAGGCATGCATTGTAGCTCAGGAAAGGCAACAAGGGGGAGTGGGCAGCAGCTTCAAAGAGAGGACACAGTAGTCAGAGTGCTTTCTACATGAGGGGGAAACCATGTAGGCCAGGACAGATGGGGGACCAGTTGCCGTAGACTTGCTTTTGAATTTATATCAATTAAGACTAATTCAACAAAGTCTAGGCATTTGTAATGATTATTAGGTAGTTTATTGGTTGCAAGTTATTATTCACAGTTATAACTGTTGTTTCAAAAGTCAAAGTATAGTAAATTTTAAACTGACGACTGTGAAGGATGGATGGAAAGCGGAAGTTTTGTCTGAGCCAGAACTTTTAGTTTCTAAATGCTTCTGTTTACCCTAGGTGATCGCACATGCTTTTCAAGTAGAGTACATCTGGTGAATTGGCACATAGCTCTTCCTGTACTGTAAAGGTTGATGTGGCTCCCGGGAGCGATTGCCACATCTTTCTCCTCTGTGTGTCTGTCCGATGCGCAGCGGTGCTGTGTACAACAGAAGGAAGCGTGGCTGGCGCTTGCACCATCCTCCCAGTTGTTGTGCTTGAGCTCATTGTTGCAGCCACTGTGCGAACCTCTCTGGTTGACGGCCTTCCTCTTTTTTTGTGCCTCTCACTGTAGCCAGCCTCACGCCCTTTTCCAGGGACTGGTCTCTCCTGACAGCACGTCCAAAGTATGTGAGACAGTCTCCCTGGCCTGGCCTTCATGGAGCAATTTGGCTGGACTTCTCCAAGACATATCTGTTTGTTCTGTTGGCACTCTGGGACGATGGCAGTATTCATCACCAGCACCGTAATTCATACACATGGATGCTTCTTCCGTCTTCTTTACTCAGTATTCAACTTTCACATGCATGAGGCAATGGACATACCATGGCTTGGGTCAGGCTCGCCTTAGTCCTCAAAGTAACCTCTTTACTTTTCAATACTCTAAAGTGCTCTTGTGCAGCAGTACCCAATGCAGCATATCTTTTGATCTCTTGACTGCTGCTTCCTAGAGTATTGATTGTGGATCCAAGCAAGACGAAACCATCTTTTCTTCTGTTTACCATGTTGTTACCTACTGGCCCAGTTTGAGGATTTGGGTCTTCTTTGGGTTGAGTTGTAATCCATACTGAAGCCTGCAACCCTCGGTCTTCATCAAGGCCTCCTCACTTTCAGCAAGCAAGGTTTTGTCATCTGTGTATCGGAGGTTGTTAGTAACCCTTCCTCTGGTGCCTCTGTTTTCTTGTTTTAATCCAGCTTCTCTGATGCTTTGCTCAGCATACAGGTTGAATAGTATGGTGAGCGGGCACAATCCTGTGCACACCTTTGCTGATTTTCAGCATGCAGTATTCCCTTGTTCTGTCCCCATGAACAGCTTCCTCACGAGCACAATGAAGTGTTCTGCATTTCCCAATCTTCTCAAGGCCGTCCATAGTTTGTTATGATCCACACAGTTGACTGCCTTGGAATAGTTTATAGAAAATAAGTAAACATCTTTCCGGTATTCTCTGCTTTCAGCTAGCACCCACCTGACGTCTGCACTGATATCCCTTGTTCCAAGTCCTGCTTTGAATGCAGCCAGAATCTCTGTCAACTATGTTTGGGTGATCTTCAGTGACATTTTACTTGTGTGTGATGTTAACGATCCTTTTCTGTAAACTGTGCATTCTTTTCAGGTCACCTTTCTTTGGAATGGCTACAAATATGGATCTCGTCCAGGCCAAGTTGCTGTCTTTCAAATTTCCTGGCATAGACGAGTGAATGCTTCTAGTGTTTCACCAGCTTGTTGAAACATTTCGATTGGTATTCCATCAGTCTCTTGAGCCTTGATTTTGAATGGCTGCTTTCTCCTAGATTCTTTGGCTTTTCTTTCAGAGTGCCTCTGGGTCAGTGGTTCCTTATCTTCCTAACGCCACGATCCTTTAATACAGCTCCTCATGTTCTGGTGACCCCCCCAGCCATAAAATTATTTTCGTTGCTACTTCATCACTGTCATTTTGGTGCTGTTATGAATCAGTCGGGTTGTTGGACCCCCAAAGGGGTTGCAACCCACAGGTTGAGAACCACTGCTGTGGGTGGACTCAAATCTCTTAACTTTACAGTTAGCAGTTGAGCTTGTTAAGTAGCTGCACCACCCAGAGATGATGAAAGAAAACCAGGATCCTGTATTTGCTTCTGCACCCTGTCAGTTGCAATATCACATGTAATAATAGCCTCTGGGAAGCTCCTCTGAGACACTAGCGAGCAAGGCGAATAACAGCTTAGTGTTGTTTTGAACTGAACCTCTCCCCTGGAAGCGTGTTGCTAGATCCTTAGGGATCCCTGGGCTAAACTTGGAAAAAGGCTGTTATATCATGTTTTCCTATTGCTTCTCAATCACAGCGTAGACAGTAAACCACGTTTCTGTTTCATAGCACTTGGGAATGTCATGTGGCTTCTACAGGTTTGCTCTCATGTTTGTTACTTGCTCCCTTTCATCCTCTTCTGGATACAGAGCAGCTATTTTGATGTGTATAATGTGCATCCTTTTTTGGTAACATGTTCTTAGATAAACTTGCGTTTTGTGTAGATCATTTTAATATATGAGGGGGTACCCAAAAATAAACCGCACAGAAGCTCCACTGGAGTGGAGCTTTCGTAGTACAGTGAACCCTTGCTTATCGTGGTTAATCGGTTCTAGACCCTACCGTGATAAATGAAATTCCACGAAGTAGGATTCCTTATTTGTAAATCAAGTATTTTTGTAGTTAGAGCATAGAGGACATGAAAAAACACCCTTTAGTCACCATTACACTCGTATTACCCAATTTATTAAACGAAAAAGGGAAAATACAG